GTTTTTACATTGCCTTTTAATACCAATTATTACTTATAAACAATATGGGATCTCAATTGATATAAATATACATACATGTATATACACATGTACCCCTAACTTTTCCACACTTTTTGTCCTGACAACTGGGTCTCAACCTTTTTAACACAAGAAATTGTTCCCTAATGGAGGGAAGGCCTAGCCATACATCCTCACATACACTTCCTGGTGGGGTTCCTCTTTTGTTCTCCTTTATTCTATTCAACTCCCTAACTGCATAGGTTTCCCTTGTGGGCGGAGGATTCATTCTTGTGGGAGCAGTTGTTCCTACTGTATTCTGCATCCTCTTCCCACAAGGTTCCATGTACAGGAACACACAAATACACTGTACATGTACAGTCCACTCTCAGTAATATACATGTATGAGTTCAGAAAGGACAAGATTCCGGTTAAGGTGAGCATATTAGCCAGTCCCAACCAAAGTGTTAACATTCCTATGTTGGAAAAAATCTTTGTCACAAGATTGGGTGATATAATTGGGTGATAGAAAATTTAGGTTAAGATGGTTGAGAGCAAATGTCTTGTTATCTTTCTTATTTAGCATAAGCATTTTGAAAACAACAAATCAACCGATCAACAAACCCATTAAACAAAGGTGCTGTTATACTAGGTGAGTTGATAATGCTCGCTAATCCAGGACTGCGATGTTGGAGCATTTTAGATACCTGAACAATCAGGGGGCTTTCCTGCCACCCAATTCAAACGAACACAACAGACAATGGGTTTTTGCAATTCCCTGGCAACCAGAGGGCCCAAGTAAAGACACACTCAATTCAAACTCCCCACCAAAACACAAAAAAGAGAACAGAAATATGCCACTATCCACTTTAAAAGCTGAAGAAAAATTCATGTTGCACTAAACTCCTTTGTTCTCCTACCCATAAATGTCTCTTTAGAAGTCAAATTTAAAGTTCTAAATCCCAAAAGTTAAAAAAAATCACCTTCATTTCTAAAAACAATTACAAGACCCTGACCTATACCCTCTACTTGTCCACACAAAACTTTAATGATTTCCTTCACTTGATACATATGGGTAATTCCAGAAATGTGGGGTCAATTTTTGTGTGTGTGCCAGTCACATCTGAAAGGTGGAGGTAAAGCAACATTAATGGTCTGGACAGAAGAAAATACTCTGTCAGAAGACAATACTCTGTCATGTTCCAGGTGATCCTCAACCGACTGAAACCAAAATCTGAGGAAATGCTATCCGAAGAACAAACAGCAGGCATGTGAATGGGCATGAACAAAAACCTGCAAATATTTTCTGATGAAATTAATCAAGGGGAGACTGCTGTGAGTGTGGAGCGTGAAGCCCCTACGACGTGGGGTCCAGGGCCCGCCTAAGGGCTCCGGAAAATTTTGGATTCTAGATGCGCTGAGGTGCAATCTGAGGCAATTCATTGCCCCTTTGCCTCTAATTTACTGAAGCAAAATCTTCTCAATTATAAGGACATTAAAAAAAATTACTCTAATTTTGTTTTACTAATCAATTGGACTTGTAAAACCTGTGATGTAGTTCACTCTTCTTTGCGGTGTTTGCGGTGCTTCTAGTACTTAGCTGCATCATGCTGTATCAATGCTATCGCTCCAGAAGTACCGTACTTGATACGAACACAACACCACTCACACCATGCTTCTCCAGGGTTGTAAAGCTTATGAAAGCAGTCGCCCACCACATGCTCATCTTCCGTTTCAGCCAGTAATAATTTGTCACACCACGACCAGTTCCACTTGTATTTTACCGATATATCAATCTCTTTCAGATCGGCAGCCCCCCG